AATCCATAAGAAAAATTACAACTGCCAAAGCTACTCTTGGTCTTGTTCTAACTTAATTCATTTGGGTAACCATTAATTGCAGTTTCATGTCATATTGTTTGCTGTGCTGCTGAGCAAAGTTTGGGGCTGTCTAGGCTGAGCTTTTTGTCTGTGTAGTAAGATCATAAACACTGAACCTAGATTAAAATTACTTTGACTCTATCTGTCTGTAGTTTGGCAGCACTGAAACTAACCCATTGCAAATTAGACATCCACAGCTTCTATACTATGTATATCTAAAAGTTTAAAATGTTTTCTCTTTCTCTTAGTTTACTATCAGGATTGCTCAAAACCTTTTTTTCCTTGACATAAGACAGAAGCATTCATATTTTTATTGATGAGGATTTGAGAGAAAAGTTGAGGAAAATTGATAGAAAGCCTTTCCTAAAGATGGAAAAATCATTAGTATTTCATTGCATTTTCCCCTTTTAATCTTATGCTGTTTCCTACAATCCCCTGCCCTAAAACTGTCGCATTTTAATCACTTTTAGTTCAGGAACTACCCAGACAATTCAAAGTGTGTTCAGATTGGAACTTTTGGTACAGGGCAGTGATACCTAAGGCTTTAGGTCTGGATAACATTAGCATTAGTGGTGGAAGAGGTCAAGAGTTCAACATAAGTTAATTCATTCTGCTAATTGGCAATGATAAGTCATTGATAAGTAAGGAGCTCAGAGAGGACAAGATAATAAAAAAGATGTCAAGGGCAAACTGTGAGCACAGTCAGAGAAACTGGAATTTTCAACTTCCAATTACTCTAACTTGTGTACCAGTTCTGTGTGTAGCGTAGTATAAAGAAGAGTTACATCTTGCAGGAAAGACAGGATCAGGACAATACTCTGGATTTTCAGGATATCAGTATTCCATAACAAGGTTGGTTCCCTGCAAGTAGACAATTTCCCTGTTCTCCTATTCTGGCGCCCTTTCTCTGTTGATGGAATGGTGTGAGAGGAGAACACTGTTACCTCTGACTTCTTTAATTAAATTGATTTTATGGGAGGAAAAAGTGAGCCAAAGCTTCTTCTCATCCCTGAGATATGAGGTGATAATTTCATAATTATTCATCCAAGCCCCACAGAATCTTTGAATTCTCTAATTTCCCTGTTCTCCTATTCTGGCGCCCTTTCTCTGTTGATGGAATGGTGTGAGAGGAGAACACTGTTACCTCTGACTTCTTTAATTAAATTGATTTTATGGGAGGAAAAAGTGAGCCAAAGCTTCTTCTCATCCCTGAGATATGAGGTGATAATTTCATAATTATTCATCCAAGCCCCACAGAATCTTTGAATTCTCTCCTTTCAGGATCTGAAGGGGCTCCAAGGGTAGCTGGCATCTGTGTTGTGTTAGGAGCTGCAGGGACAGGACAAGGGGCAATGGGCACAAATTGAAGGAGGGAAATTTTTTTAAGATATCAGGCAGAAGTTTTCCCTGTGAGGGTGGTGAGACACTGTCCCAGGTTGCCCAGGGAGGCTGTGGCTGCCCCAACCCTGGCAGTGTTCACAGCCAGGTTGGATGAGCCTTGAGCAACCTGCTCTGGTGGGAGGTTTGGGCAGGGGCAGGGGCAGGGGTTGGGAATAGATGATCTCTAAGCTCCATTCAAACCCCTAAAATTCTGTGGGTCTATGACTGCAAAACTGTGACTCAAGCGACAGTTCAGTTCAGAAGCAGTGACATCTGTACAGGGAAAAAGCTGATCCTAGATGAGATACTAGAGGTCAATTAATTTCATCTTCCGTTAGAGAAACTGGGGATGACCTACATTTTTTTTATTTATTTCTTATCTTCCTTTCCCACACTTGGACAAATGATCAGCTGTGTTTCTTTTAGAGCCACATTTTAAACATGCCTGGTTTGGGTTGGGTTTTTTTTCCCTATGAAACTTGGGAATTGTTTCTGTTCCGTAAACTTTTTATGTGTCTTCTTTTATACTGATTTGGGAGATAATTGCCTTTATGTTGTCTTTGAAAGAGTGAGGGGTGTAAATGAGGAATACTTTGCTGGGCCAAGCTTTGCACAGCTGATTGTCTGGAAGAAACTTTGCAAGGCACTGGTAGCAAACAGTCCCAGTGTTTCTTCTGTTGAAAATGAATGCTTTGCCTCAGGGACATTTGAGCAGAAATCTGTTCATACAAACGCAGCAGAATTTGAATTTGTACCATGTCTTCTCACAAACTGAAACTCATAAAACTCCACAGAATCAAATGACACAGTAACAAGACTGAGGTAAATATGGAAATGCTGAAGAAAAAAAAAGGCATTTAATTCCACAGGCAACAGAACTTACTAGTACTGGGATCCAAGAATTTGTGTGTTGTGGTTTGATTCTCAGATGTCTTACAAGTTGTAAGTTACAAGTTGCAAGCTCTGATCAAAGCTTTTGCTGCACTTATAATGTTCATACATCAGGCAAATGTATTGAGTATGTATAAACTCCATATCAGAAGTTTCTGCATGGAGCATGAGTAGAATTTTGTTCTTCTGCCCATCCTGCAGTTTTGGTGAAATTCTCTGTAGCTTCATAATGATGATAACTCTGTTGTGGAAGATTTATTGAAATTGGACAGGGGGTTCCTAGCTGGGTTTGAAGGATGCAGGAACAGCCAAATTGACACCTGGAACTGACTGGATTAAAAGCAAAAATTCAGTATCTAAAGGGGCCTATAAGGGATCTGGAGAGGGACTCGTGGTTAGGAGCTGCAGTGACAGGACAAGGGGTAATGGGTTCAAGTTGAAGGAGGGGAAATTTAGGTTAGATATTAGGAGAAAGTTTGCCCTGTGAGGGTAGTGAGACACTGGCCCAGGTTGCCCAGGGAGGCTGTGGCTCCCCCAACCCTGGCAGTGTTCACAGCCAGGTAGAAGTTAAGAGTCGTGAATTTTCTGACCTAAATTGTCTCTATTGCTCACTGACTTATGTAGACAAGTGGAAATATTGTCTCTCAGCAGATTATTGCTTTGCTGGTGTATGAATTTTTTTGTTCATTTAACCATCAGCTGAATAGCAGAAAGGGGGAATGTGCACAAAGCTTTTTCCTGCCTTGGTATAAAGAAGGAGCAATTTACAACTTAAATCCATTCCTCGTGTCTGTTTTGTGTTTAGCATCTCCTCAATATGTTCTGTCAAAGGCGCAGGGAAGGTTTCAGGATGTCAAGAGACTCAGTAACTCAATGTTCCCAAAGGAAAGTGTTGTTACTCATTTGCTATGATTTTTGATACAGTTTGAGGACGAAACGTTTTGAGCAAAATTCAGCCAAGTCTCATTCCACACCATGTTCTCAGGCACTACCACAGAGCAGTGTCAGAAGACTGTATTTAGGTTTATAACATATGAACATAGATTTATATGTATTTATATATGCATATATGTCACAGAGACAAAAGCACACACACACACACAAAATACATAAACCGATTTAAAGAACCTTTGTTTTTAAATATAATTTAGAAGATTTGTGTGAATGTAAACATTGGGGAAACTTGTGCAGCAGAAGTCACTGTAGGCACTGGCATTTTGACCTCATAAATAAACATATGCAGGATTATATCTCTCACTTGAAGGGGATGTTTAAAACTTTGTGGAATTCTGGTTGTTGCTTCTTAGTAGCACAAAAGATGCTATAAACTGCCTAGCAGATTTGTGCATGAGACATATTATATATGACACCACACTATTTAATTCCACTCTTTAATAAAAGACTGCCTAGTAATTTTTTATAGCCAAACAAGGAATCTCTTGCCATGTAGCCTTACTGGATGGAAATGATAAGGAAATCACCAGTTTATATGTATGCAAGCGATAGTTTCTATAGATTATTCATAGCATTTGTAGGGTTAACAATGCTGATAACTTACCAAACCCATCGAAATCTTTGAATGTTGTGTAAGACAAAGAACTCTGTAAGCAATAAGGCACAAAATATCCTTCTGCACATCCAGCTGTTATGGAATTCCACAGTTCTACATTCACTAAGACTATAACCTCCTGTTCACCATGTGTAGGTTGTGTTGTGCATAACCATATTCTTGGAACTCTTTGGACAACTTAAATGTTTCACTATGTTCCACTGACCCTCGTTTAACTTAGATTTACCACAGCTATAGTCTAAATAGATTAATAGGTTCATATAGTTTAAGAATTAACATGGCAGGTTAATTAAAAACATGTCATAAGGTGCCCCTGTGTGAGCATCTTGCATTCTTTTTGCTGATATAGATTATGTTTATTTTGTACAGAGCATTAGAATAAATAACACAGTATAGTACTGTATTATTAATACCTCTTTTTTTTGGTATTAATCTGTGCTTAAGTGCCAAATGTTGATGCTGTTTAAATGGTCTCTTCCTATATTTGAATACTGAAGTGCTACAAATGTGAATTGCCCAGCTAATGTCCTGATTCACTGTAACATAAGTAAATAAAATGCTGGTGTAGACCAAAACATTTTCCAACATAAACCAGAAAAACAGCAACAACAGCAACAACAACAACATGCAAAACATATTGGTGCATGGAATATATCCACCACACAAATAAAAGACAAATGGGCAGAGAGAAAATATAGTCACAGACAGATTCCACTTTGATATCTTCTGAAAAATTCCAGAGTGGTTCATTCTAGGTGACAATCAGGTAAAAAGATTGGATTGTACACCAGTCACAGACACTGGACAGTTCCTGCTTGGTTCAGAAGAACAAACCACGTGTGTCATTCAAGCCAGTTTTCTGGTGTCCTAATCACATCAATATCCTTTTCAGAGACAGAATTGCCATCCAGTGGATCTCAGTTCACAGAACATAACAGTTCTAGTCAGTCCATCTACTCAGTCACCTCTAGAATTAGGTACAATGGTGCACGTGTCTGAATTGATTATGGAACAGTCACTGGGCTTCCCGTTGTAATAGCTTTGTAGTGACTTTCTTTTTTCCTCTTTGATTCTGAAATGGCATGAGAGTCCTTAACTTTCAGTTTATGCTGTCTTTGTGGCTGCTTCGATCTGTATTGTGATTGTTTAGTTCTTGAGTTTTCCATTGAATGGTCGTTCCATTCATTGGTACTGAAGTCACTAGGCTCTTGGACTGGGAGCAGCAACAGCAAAGACATGACTGGGAAAAAGATAAATAAATAAATAAAAAGAAGGTTAAGACAAATCTTTCAATTCTATGCAGATTGCCAGCTGTATTTTTCATTCAGAAATGAACAATCAATTCTAGCTGAAGGGAGTGGTAGCTGCACTCAGAGACATATTTATCCTAGGATGCAAACAATTCTAGTGATAAAGCACCACAAATAAAATAAATTAGGCCCAGCCTGTGCCTCTTATTTTAAAAAATTTACAGTATGAAAAGGGAAATTTGACTAAAATAAATAGAGAACTGACAGAATTCAATGCATATTCCTAAGGGCTGGTGATTTTTTCCTCTCTTTGTCACTCTCCTTCAAATTTAGGGAGCAGCATGCTGCTTAGCATGGGAGAGAGAGGAAGAAAATTCCCCAGTCTGTGACAGGTCTCTTCTCACATCTTAGGAGAAGGCAAAATAGTTTAGGAAAAGGGACAATGAACATCCTGAGGTGTATCAGTTTGCACAGTTAAGAATTGAAGGTAATTCAGGACCATAATCTCTGGTTCTTCACGGGTTGATATGTTCAGTTGTCTCTTCTGAAAGGAGCAGAAAGGATTTTTCAGCAATCCTCTCATTCCTTCACAAAAACTGGTACCTAATTTTATGTAGATGGAATCTCTACTTGAGGGAAAAGAGTTAGGACCACACAGGAGCAATGCCAATAACAGCAGTTGGGTGGTAATTATACTTAGAAGGACAAATGGGAAGAATCAACTAATGATATGAAGAGCATCCTGGTAGTACCCCGTGTTGTTTCTCTCTTCCACCTGAGAACAAGTTCAGGCCTATTATCCTCTCCAGAGTTCCCAAATGAAGTAAAAACCAAAGCTGACTTCTTATTTATCATGTGAAAATAGTCCCTTTAGAATAGTTTGCAAATCTGAGCAGGCTACAGACAAGCAGGTATTGCCTAGTCTAATAATGCATCACTATTTTTTTTTCAGTAGCTTGAGTTCTGCCAGTTCTCAGAGTCTAGTGGTACAGTCCTGTCATCTTTTGTTTTTCTTTGCAGATAAAACTATATCAGTCTTCCCTTTTCATTTCAATACTTTCTTTACCCCTCTTTTTTTTTCTCCTTCCTGTATTGCCTTTATTAGGTGGACAGGGTCTCACAGAGTCACATTATCACAAAGAAATGATTTTAACCTTAAAATATGTTTGCATGTGTAGAAACTGGGAAAATGCAGGTAGAAAATATAATGCATATTTAATTCCTGAAGACAACTCGGGTGCCTGGTTTGGTACTCAAGCCTGAAAATGTTAGTTGTTAGTGGGATAGTTTAATGCAGGCAGCTTGGTGTCAGTGAGAGTGGAAAAGGTGTTATCAACCAAATTCAATTTCATTTCAGTCTCTGAAGGGCCTACAAGGGAACAGAAGAGGGAATCTTTGTTAGGAACTGCGGTGATAGGCCATGGGGTAACAGATTCAAACTGAAGGAGGGGAAGGTTAGGTTAGATATTAGGAAAATGGTTTTTGCTATAAGAGTGGTGAGACCCTGTCCCAGGTTGCCCAGGGAGGCTGTGGCTGCCCCAACCCTGGCAGTGTTCACAGCCAGGTTGGATGAGCCTTGAGCAACCTGCTCTGGTGGGAGGTGTCCCGGCCCAGGGCAGGGGTTGGGGCTGGATCATCTCTAAGGTCCATTCTAACCCCTAAAATTCTGTGATTCTATGATTCGTGTGCATGTCACATGCAGATAAATAGTATTTACAAGAGCATGTCTGTCTGTTTACATGTTCATTGGTTTAGCATTTCAGATCAAGTGGATAGTTCCACTTTCAGTTTGGTATGTGTGCTATGTGAGCTGCTAAACTACACAATTTGTAATCTTCCATTCCTTGGCATGCCTCTTCTCCCAGCTCTTAAAAACAGATAATAACTACATGGTTTAATAGAGTTAGTTAACTGGACATAAAATCTTATCACTAAGACCTTACCTGGAAACAGTTTTTAAACTTCTTGCTCACAAAATACAGAGCTATGGGGTTTATACAAGAATTCATGGTTGCCAGGTTGATGCTGATATAATCCAGTGGCAGCAAGAAGCTAGACAAGAGAAAGCAAAACATTTGAACTGTTCATATGTATTAAAACTGAAACTGCTGAAAACAGATGCAGCTGAAAAGTAATAAAACCACAGTTGCATGCACAATCGTATCTCTCATATGAATTCCAGGGCATTATGCTTTTTCAGGATGAACTATAGACACAGAAAATGAAGTACCTGAGCAGTTCACATCTGCTGGGGTCTGATTCATCATATACCATTTTCTTCAAAATTCGGCTCAAGTGGAGAGGGAACCAGCAAAGGGCAAAAATCACAACTAAGCAGAAAACTGTCTTTGCAACTTCTCGACGCTAGAAAAAGGAGATAACAGTAAATACTGAGTGCCTAATTCATATTGGCAGGTGATTGCAGTGTAATGTTGGCGGCAAAGTGAGTAATCTAGATAAAGCATGCAAGAATTCCCAAAGTGCAGTTAATGTTGGCGGCAAAGTGAGTAATCTACATAAAGCATGCAAGAATTCCCTAAGTGCAGCTTCCAGACTGCCTGATATCCCTGAACTCTTTTTTTATGGGGCTTGTCATGTTCTTATTTCTGGCCATCCTCGACAGAACCTGGAGCAGCTGGAGCACACAGGTCATTGCCAGAACACTGTAGAAGTTAGCCCAGGAAAATCCACTGCTGCTCTTTCCTGAACCTGATTACTTTCTCTGTATTTCTTATTCCTCTAGTCTGGATTAGTTTTCTGGCGATCCCTCAGATAAATGACTTTTATGAGGAACATGCATAATCTGCAAGAAATCCTTTTCACATATGAAGCAAACAGGGTTCACACCTCTTTGATAAACCATTTGTACTTAATCCTTGATGTGGAGCAGTCTGCAAACCCAAGGCACCTAAATCACTTGGCAATGAAAGTTCCATTCAACCACATACCTACTCAGGATGCCAAATTCTCTCTGATACATTATGTTTAGGATGTGTCATGTTACTCAAAGGGATACTGCACAGTGTATTAATTTTGCTGTGTGATTTTGGTGTTCTTAAGCAAATAGTTACTCTACAAACAACATTTTGGAAATGTATGATAGCTTAATCTGAAAATAATTAGGAAAAAATTTCAGTTTAATGGATATTTTAAATGGCTCTAGGGAGTAGCATATTTCTGGGTGGATTTTTGGCAGTGCATTCCAAGGGTGTTTGGTAGGCATGGGTTTGATAAAGACAAGTGTTTGAAGGGGTGAGGATACAACTTCTGAAACTGCCATGGTAATAGAACAGGAACGAGCACTGCAAGGCTCTGTCATTACAAAAAAGTCAAATGTGGGATTGCAGTTTTTAGGCTTTGAATATGACTATTATTCTTTCCTCTTTTTTATAATCGCAGTTTTTATCCAAATATGAAAAGGATTGTGACTAGACATTAATGTGGACAAGGCTGTAGGGAGGGAAGGAAGGAAGAGGGGCAGAAAGTGATAGTTAAAAAGACAAACATTTGTAAATTGTGGCATTAAGTCATCCTCTAGCAACCAGTCTGAGTGGCTTACTGGGCACTGGAGAGCAGGATGGGAAAGCTGGAGGGTGGATTCCCACACCTCTTGCATACCATTCTTAGTTCCAAGGGGTGGAGTAACTTGTGTGTGGCCCTAGGACAGACTGTGCTACTGGCCCTGGGGCCTGAGGAGGGGAAAAAGTGGAGGATCTGCACAAGGCAAGGAATTTTGGGTCAGCCCTGATCTGGAATGAACCAGCAGAGGAGGAACCTCTGAGAGAACTCTAATGCAGAGAGAAATGCATTAGGGATCCACATCTGTGAATGTGGATCTGGGAAGAAGAGTGGAATTTGAAGGGCTGATAGTAACACAAGGGAAAAACTACAGATTGTTGTTTGAAATTTTGGTGAGGCACTGAACATCAGATACTGCTGCAAAAACAGCCAAGTGAGACCTGACGGTTCTGTGAGTGACTTTGTTCTATGATCATTTCTCTGTGCTGTTCTCCTGCTGCTCTTTTCAAAGCAGCTCCAGTAGTGGCACTGCAACAGTGCCATAACCCTGAAAAACAAAACCTACTCTATTCTAAACTAGGTTATTCTACGATTGCTTTTTATATGAAACTGAAGTTGCATATCAAAGAGTGCCAAAAGTAGGGAGGATCCATGGATCTTTATAAATAAAAAGAAACATTTTTTGGCAAACCTTTAAATTTCAAAGCATTTAGCCAGTAGTGATTTGAGGTTAAAGAGCAAGAGAGCACAGCTGTCATATAGACTTAAGAAAAGAAAGAAAGTGGCTACTTTCCTGAGCATACTGTCTTCAGTGCCTCTTCAGAGTATGATTTAGTCTTTTGTTCCAGGTTTAAACGAATACCTGAATGTCAAAAATAACCTACGTCCTCACTTTCTACTTCTGTACTTCGCTGTATTCAAGTACACTTTGAAACATTTCCAAGCTAACCCATAAAGAACAGTATTTTCAAACATTGGTGCTTCTAATATTTACCTGCTTAAGGTGTTCACTGAGAGCAATTCTCAAGTTGCTGTTTCTTCTGTTTAACATTTCACAAGTCATGAGTGTATAAAAGATGGCAGTACAGGCCAGTGGCATGCAGAAGTAGAAACCAAACAGCCACCAATCCTTTGCATCTTTGTAGAACTGGAGATAAGGTAAAGAAAAGAGAAGATATTTTCTTAGGATTCAATGCAAAGGACCAAAGAAAGGTTTTAGAAAGCATGAGAGCTGGTACACTGGTGTGTGTGTGCTTATTGTTGATCCATTTTGGACCAACATCAAAATGGGGATTGTGACAGTGTAAACATTTACTTGACCTTACAGATAGTCTGTCTGTACCTTTGTTGCAATCTTAGGTTGGAATTAATGGGTTTTTTTTGGTTGTGCTTTCCTAGCATTCACACTCCTTCATGAAAACTGAAATCCAGTTGCATGAACAAGACCTGCCAACATGTAGACAGTGTCAGTTTGAGATAACAAACCTTACTAAAAGCCTGTCTCAGGAAATGCCATTTACCTCTACACCTTCTGTCCTGAGTCCCAAAAAGAAAAATTCAAAATGTCTTCTAAGTTTAATCACTGTTTGTTATCAGTGAAAAGGTTGGCAGTTGGTTTGCTTATGTACTGGGCAGATAGGAGCCACTTCATAAGTGTTTGTCTGATATATGCAAAGCTTCTAGTGGTACAATTACTCTTAACCATTTGCCTGCCATTCATACCATTTGCCTCTTGTGACAGGACACTGAGCAGCAATACTTTGCTGGGAATTTTTAAGTATTTGCTGTAAGTTAATACACTTATGTATTGTGGGAAATTAGACCAAATACTTGGAATCATGGAATTATAGAATCAACTGGGTTGGAAAAGACCTCAAAGATCATTGAGTCCAACCCTACCATGGTTAGTAGACCATGGCACTAAGTGCCACATCCAGTCTCAGCTTGAAAACCTCCAGGGATGGTTAATCCACCACCTCCCTGGGCAGCACATTCCAATGCCTGAGCACTCCCTCCCTAAAAAATTTCTTAAAATTACTCTTTCCTGTAGACAATTATGTTTTCAGACTTCAGAAAATATTGTCTCTTGGTTTCTAACTTTCCTGCTCAGCCCAAAGTGTGCACTGAAATGTGGCATTTTAAATACTTCCTGTGTCTATGTTATTAGGGTAAAAGGGATGTGTCATACTCTTTCCTGCAGCTTGTTTATTCCTAGCGGATGTGCTCTTGGAACATCGCAGTTCCCACACCAAATGTCAAAATCCTAATGGCTGAGGGTTTTATGAATCCTGCTTGAAAAAGTCAAACCTTTGACATCTTTTTCATATTTAGTACCAAATAACACTAAACTTTGAAAGCTGAAAAAAAAATGGATTCAATTCATAGGCTAATATTTAATAATGCTCATTTTAAAATCTGCTTTAGTTGCACTAAGAAGTTGATTTACTAAGAGAAAAGGAATGCTTTTCTTTTTCTCCCTATACCCCAACACAGCTGCATAAAGTGCTTGCTAACTTAGACTATGCTCCTGGTATCTAGGCCACAGTCCCTCCTCACTTTGGGACACTTTGCATTGTGTTGATTAATTTGTTTCCTCCTCCTCATTAGCCTCCTCCTTGAGGAAGGTTTGCAGCTGCATAGTTGCACTTTCCTTGAGGGCAGAATTTCCCCCACTGGGAACAAAGCTTCTGCCAGCAGAAAACCAGAAAAAAATATGCTTCGTATTTGAAGAGTTTGTACCGAGGGCAAATCTAATTTCTGCTCCTTCTGCAGAGAAAAATATTACAAATACATGGAGACAATTATCTTTTCCATGGCAAATTCCTCTAAGTCAGACTATGATCATATTGTCTGGGCAACACAACAAAATGTGTACTACGTGAATCCGTGCCATGTTCACAAGGAAAACTTTCTGTCCTGTCAAGTCTCCAACTTCCATGAGCATTGCCTGTCAGTCAGGAAAACAGACACAGAGATCTGTGTCACAACCCTGAGCAATACATCAATTCTGGAGGAGGACCTGACTTTGTGATGTTATAAAACCAACTCAAAAATGTCTGTAAATGATTAATTGTGGAATCTGAGTTTCACAAAGCTTACATCAAAGCACAAAAATGGGTTGATTTAAGAGAAGTAGACATTCTTTTGTTTGTCTTGAGAGCCCACATGGAACTGATTTTCTACAGGAAATGTGCATTTTAAACAAGTTTCCTAGTGCACTCAGCCTCTTGGGAATCATGGTCTAGCATGAAGCTTTTAAATCTTTCAAGGATAGTTTTAAACATGAATAAAACTCCTGTTAAAACAAAGGTTAATAATAAATCCTTCCCAAAGTTTGGTAATGGTTTATTGTGGTGTTTGTGGTAGTAAATGCTCTAGTTAAGGTTAAAATTGTATTTTCACTTAATCTCATGTCTGTACTTGCTTGCAACACATGGAAACACAAAGCTCTCCATTCTGTCTGACATATCCAACATTTACTCTCAGCTTGGACATAAATGTGGGTCTGTTTCCTTGAAAATCAAACTGGTGGGGGGAGATTTTGGCTCATTCAAATTATACTGAGCAAGTAAAAGATACTAACTCTGCTAATAAATCAAACCAAGAAATTCTGTCTATGACAGACCTGAAATGATAGTGTTTTTGAGAAGGTGGAGAAGAAAACTATTCTTTTTCTTAGGGAGAGTGGAAATGAAGATCAACACGTTTAATCCAGGCACATTTGTGGAGAAAAACAGTCATTACAAAAGGTACATTAGCTGCAGTGTGCATTTCATAAATGACAGTCAGCAACTACAATATCTACACTCAAATAGCCTGTGGAGTTTAGAAACAAAGATATAGCAAGTCCTGCGCAATTTTACTTCATCTTCACCTGTTAATTATTTCCATTAGCAAACTTAATTTGTCTTTTCTTGCATTTGTCTCTTGTTCTTTCTGCTATTCCTGCAATCCCTGCACCCCTACCAAAGTTGGCATGTTCCTCTGAAATACACTAATCAACCGTGTTTTTTATTTTCTAAAATTATGAGCTCCATTTTGCCTTATCCTTCCCCATTCTAGCCCAAGCCATGTTCTGATTCAATAAAAGAAGGGCCAGAGGCATTAGAAAAAGAGAAACTTGCACTTTATCATGCAAAATTCTAGTCCAGAAAAAAACACGCATTTTCTCTCAAGAGCTAAGACCTAACTCTATGTGCCTCCCCTGCAACAAAACAGAAAATTAGCATTTTTTATTCATTACTGGGTGAATTATCGAACCATAGAATTTTAGGGGTTGGGATGGAGCATAGAGATGATCCAGCCCCAACCCCTGCCCTGGGCAGGGACACCGCCCACCAGAGCAGGTTGCTCAAGGCTCATCCAACCTGGCTGTGAACACTGCCAGGGTTGGGGCAGCCACAGCCTCCCTGGGCAACCTGGGACAGTGTCTCACCACCCTCACAAGGAAAAGCTTTTTCCTAATATCGAACCTAAATTGCCCTCTTCCAATTTGTGCCCATTGCCCCTTGTGCTGTCCCTGCAGCTCCTAACACAGATCCCTCTGCAGCTTCCCTGGAGCCCCTTCAGCTCCTGGAAGGTGCTCTGAGGTCTCCACACAACCTTCTCTTCTCCAGGCTGAACAGCCCCAACTCCCTCAGCCTGTCTTGATAGGGGAGATGCTCCAGTCCTCTTATCAAGTTCGTGGCCTCCTCTGGACTTGCTCCAACAGTTCCATGTCCTTATGTTGAGGGCAGAAATGGTACTTGGCCATTCTTTTGGTTCACAAACAAAACTTAAGATATTTTCTCAGTGTAAGTCAAGGTGGAAAATCACTATCCCCCTATGCAGTAATCTATTAATTCCATGGTGGCTTCTCACCTGACTTGCTCTGAACAAGCCAATATAGGTATTGGCAAAACTTAAGCTACAGAAGCACAGAGGATAAGGACTGTGACACATGCCAAAGCAGCCTGGTGTGTCTCAGGCACTGCTCTTGCTCTTGAGTTGCTGTATCTAGGTGACAGCTAACACTGTACAAGCTGCCTAGCTTGGAGGTGTGGGTCTGTCAGCTTTGTAGACATGACTTCTTGTAAATGAAATATTATTTTTATATTTGACTTGGTTTATATGCCTTTTCTTTATGTGCCAAAAGAGCTACTACATGCAAAATGATGACCCATCATGGGAAAACAAGTTTTGGCAGTTACAAGCTCCAAGGTGTTGTATCTTGACACTCAAAACCTTCCAAGGCTCTGTCTACCATGATACATCTCTTGACTGTACTTTAAGCCAAGCCTGAATTGCAAATGTCTGTTTAAAGAATCCCCAGTAGTGAAGAAATAAAAATGCAAAGTCCCGTTTAGTCTCTCTGGTGGAAAGTAGAGACAGGTCACGGTAAGCATAGGATGCTCTTTGCATGATTACACATTAGAATACATTTTGCACTTTAATACATGAATAAAACCTTCTATAATCCAGTATCTTAATTGTCTAACCCTTATACTGTGAATCCCAGAAAGAGAAGAAAGGCTGTTACTTACAAACATAAAAGCATTTGTAGGTCTAAGCATGCAGGTAACAAAACTTTGCTCCTTGTATTTGAAAGGCACCACAGCAAAACCAATTGCTTCTGGGATAGCCAGGATGAAGGACAGAAGCCAAATGGAGAAGATTTCAATAGCAGTGATCATAGGGATTCCAATTCCCTGGACACGGCTCCAGGAGGCAACTGCTCTGTACCTGAAAGAGAGAGGCATTGGTTTCCAACACTCAGTTCCTTTCTTAAATGTTATAGATCTAGTAAAATGCTATAGGTGATACCTGAGGCTTGTATTGCTTGTTTTTTCTGCCTATTCCAGGGCTTCTGCCAGCTCTCAAGCCACCTAGGACACAGCAGGGCACGTCAAGGGATGGAGAGCAGTAGCTGGCTGCTACTCTTCTGCTTAGCTGTGGGGTTGTGTGGAATTCTGCTATCTGGACTACAGTAATGATTGCTGATTACACTAGGCAAGGTTTCTGAGGACAGACTGTGTCTTTCACCAGATCAACTGGCATAACAAGAAAAAAGAGCTTCCAGTCACACAAGTTATTCTGGTAGAGATGAAGCAGCAATGTACTTCAGCTCCTCAGCTGTGGCAGCAGTGCTAGCTGCAGTGAAGGCTTCAGTTTCCATGCAGTGAAATGCCATGAAAATGCTCTCAGTGAAATGAAAAGGCATTTGTACTGTTTACACTATTCAGTGAACTAAGAGGGTCTTTCTCCTCTACTTGTCTGTCAGTTTTCAAGGAGCTTGTAGAAATGTATTAGCTTTGAGGCCTCAATCTTTCTGTCAGCTGTGGTTCAAAAGGTTTGAAAATTATTGGGAGAAGACTGATAGGCTCTGTACAACACAGAGTAAAAACCAATCCATAAATAGCATTTTCAGTAGCTGATGTAACTTATCTGCAGTAAACAAGTTACTTAGCACTTCCAACAATTTAGCAAAAGCAATGCTGTCTAAAATTTATGGAAAGGACTAATATTATTTTCGATCTTGTAGTAGCTGGAAATTCTTGCTGGAGAGCTTTCTGTCATTAGTGATGTAACAGTTTCTAAACTGCTTATTTTACTTGCCTAAAGAATAGACTTTCCCATTTGGAATTGCAGTGCTACAGAGATACATCACAGCATGCACTGCTGAAATAGGCTTTTGTTGAGGAGAAAAGAAGTCAAGAAAGCTTGTTCAGCTGCTACAAATAAGTCAGAATAAGAAGTCACTGAAGCACATTATAAATTGTATGGAGCTGTGTCATTTTATTGTCCTGCCTATGGCAAGGATTATTTTCTTCCTCAGACATGCCCTCATTTTCTGCCCCCTTGAGTCCTGGCAGGAACTTCTGGATATGTGCAGCTGCTGCCTCTATTCTTAACAACTTTCCAAGGCATTGGCCAAGGTTAAGCTTTTCAGAGAAGCACAAATGGGCTGGTGATTTTAGCTGATGACAGCAGCTAAGTGGAGTACAAAAGGGCAGAGCAGCAGGCACAAGGAAGGTGAAAGATATGGGGAAAGAGATTCTCTCAACCAGGAGGATACAGTTTGTTAGTATGTGGGCGCTGAATTGTGAAGATGGGTGAGCTTTGGCAAGGGAAGGAAAGGACAGGGGAAATTAGATCAGAAGGCTTTAGGTTGGAGGATTAGGCTGTAGAAGGATTAGGGTGGGATGGAGAGGTGGTTGGAAGGAGCACAGAATTTTGGCATGGGCTTGAAGGCTCAGGGATAATAAGGGTTTAAGTAAAAGAGTAATTGAGAACTCTGGATTAGGATGCTTTGAGTGCACTGGGAAGTATTGGATTTTGAATTTCTGAGATGGAATGAATGAAGAGCTTCTGACAGGAAAAACATTACTTAAGGTCTATAGGAACTAGGCTACAGAGATCAGTAAAATTTAGTTATTAAAAGACTTCCTGACTTTTCCTTTGACCAATACACTAATATGGGATTCACAGACAAAACATTTCTTCTGCTTTCATGTATCACCCCCCCCCTTTTTAGTTTGGGACTGTGCTTATTAACAGGGTGGAAGGCTTGGAAATTAAATCTCCCATGGCCTTGCTGTTAGAGGAAAATGCATGAATTCCAGACCAGGCTGTAAGCCCCTCTCAAAAACCTCAGAAAACATTTTTCCACAACATCACTGGGAGCTGTCAGAGCCTGGTATGCATCATTCTTGCAGTAAACAGACCAGAAATTTTCCCTTTGGTATCTATAGCAATATCATGCACAGCACAGTCACAGGTGTTCTGTGGACAAGCTCTCAGGATATATTTTTAACAGAAATGGATGCATAAATACCTTGAACATGCTAAAGCAAGCTGCAATTTAGACTTGCATTTAAAAGTAAAAACATCTTCTAAAGGCATAGAATCATAGAATTTAAGGGTTGGAATGGACCTTGCAGATCATCTAGTCCCAACCCCCTGCCCTGGGCAGGGACACCTCCTCACTAGATCAGGTTGCTCAAGGCATCCTTATCTTCAAAGATTATGATAAAGGAGGAAGACAATGGTTAACTCATGGGTAAGAGTTCTGAGACCATCGAAACAAACAAAACCATACAGAGAGAATGCAGAAAGTAATGCCCAGTCTCATATCTCCTCACAAATATCCTTATTAAAATACGTATTTAACTTTATACAATTTGTCATCCTCTCATAGCTCATTTTACCAAACATGAAAATTTGGCTTTTAGGACTAAATGGAATATTCACAGAAACATAAATTTTCACACAAATACTCAAATAGTTGTGAACTTTTGAAATTTTATAATCAATTTGAAGCTTACTTTCTACTCACTGGCAATATTACAATTGGTCCCACCAGGTACTAACCCATCCTTGACTGACTGATGCTCTTAGCAAACAGGGCCCTGTACACCTGTGTATAATTATACCTAAGTTTGTGTTGTGTCACCTCTGTAACTATGCAAGTGACCACAAATGGGCTGCAAGTTGTGAATCCAATGATTTTCTTTCTCGCATTTTTGTACCTGTTCTTTTGAGTCACATCTGGTTTGTCCATGAGAAGATCAGTATGCACAGCAGGAAGGATTTGAGTCCTGTATGTATTTTATTAGAGTGGGGTTTTTTTCAATTCACCATTCAAATAACTATCACATAAGGAATTACTGGTTGAATCATTTATGAATGGTTTCAGCTAAAGCGTAAGAAGCTCAGTAATTAGACCAGAATTTGCTGAATGTATATTAACCTGCAAAAACTTTACTCACTGCTGTATGAGTGGTTTGAAAAATAGTGGTAGTATAATATTTCAAGTGGGTGTTCTGTGAGTTATGTAATATATAGGATCTTTGTCTAGCCACAAACCTCCCATAATTAGGAGTGAGAAAATACTGCAGGGTTTATTTCCCTCGTACTTGGAAAATATAGGATGTCTGCTAGGGAGCTGACATAAAATGCATGCATGATGCATTATATTTAATTCCTCATTCTAAAAGCTGTGTGTGATTTGTCTAACTTTTCTCTTTTCTGTTTATTTCTCTCTTGTCTCTAACCTTGTCTAAAATATTCAGTTCTTTTCCAGGTCACTTCCTTTTATCTGTTTACTGTTGTGGCTCCTCTTTTCTCTCCTCTTTCCATTTTCAGCTGCTCATGCCTGTGCTGTCAACTTTAGTATATTTTGTCTGCCCACGTCTCTCTATCCTCTGTTTTCTTCTTCTCCCTCTTCCTCTATTCTTAGCTATTTACTCCAACTTGGTTTTCGTGGACTCTGCAGTTCCTCCTGCTAATTAGATTTAGAGATGCACATTATTTAAGGACAAGGGGTCATTACCTCATGAAGTATAAACACATACAAATAAATATTTGTACTCTTATCTAGTTGTAAGTTGCTTTAAACATTTCTTTTAGAAGAGCATCTTGTCTGGGTCTGAGAACATCAGTAGGTGCTTTGGTTTCCCTATTTCTTTTAACTGTTTTAGAAAATTAGGTGTCCAAATGGCCCATGAGTATAACATATTTCTGTTCTGCAAGTATCATCAGTGCTTTGCAAAAGTGGAAAACAGTGCAAGGAAAGATAAGAGGAGATAACAAGGATGTAAGAAGCAGTCACTGTCAAGATTAGTGTAAGAACAGCTCCTAAATGGCACTACTGTTGCTGGTACTGAACTGTTCTGCTTCCTTGTTAGAGATGACAGCTGTCCTGCATTTTAAGGATAGTCAGCAGTGTGTTGACCACAAAGTTTTTAATACAATAAAGCTCTTAGAGCTTTGTTTTGGTGGTAAAATCTTAACTTACACACTTACTGGAAGTTGGGCCAGATGAAAGTATCTGCCCTGGCATTACTGCTCTATGCAATTTGCTGTGCAGTGGAGAGAGTGGATACACATTAAATGAGATCCATATCTTCACTCTTCTTCTTAAACCCATTTCTTCATCAAAATCATTATGCCCAAGCCATAAGCAAGAGTAAAAGCTCAGGAAGGGAACTATCCTTGCCCTTAGTCACCACTGGGCACTGTTTAGAAAAAGAGTAACACTGTAGTCACCATCATGACCTAGGGTTTAAAAATGCCTTAAAGGCGTCTGAAGCAAACAGGAGCTTCCTCTGAAGGGCAAATGGCTGGTTCTCTGTCAGCCTCCTGAAACCCTCTCCACATGTGAGTGGACATTGTCCCCCTTGGGCATGCACAGTGAAACCTTAATACACTGTTAGGGCAAGTCCCTTTGTGTGAAGGGCAGCAGTAATGAGTGGAGTTTCACAATCGG